GGCCCCTCAGGTCTCAGGCTCATGGGCCCCTCCTGCCCCGGTGGCCCCTCAGGTCTCAGGCTCATGGGCCCCTCCTGCCCCGGTGGCCCCTCAGGCCCCAGGCTCACAGGTCCCTCCTGTCCCGGCGCCTGCACAGGGTCTGTTTCTGTTACAGTCTCGGTGCCGTCCAGAGCTTCTGCTGGCCGGCCGGCCTCCGGGAGTGTGCGCTCTGTGGCCTCCCGTTGCCCGGCCAGGCAGTCCAGTCCATGGGTGTCCTCAGCAAGCTCTCCAGGCTCCAGAACGTCATAGTGGGGGACAAGGCTCAGCTCAAGGTTCTGCAGCCAGTGGTCGCGCTGCAGCACCCGCTCTGCGGCTGGAAAAAGGGAGGGATGAACTGTCGGGGCTGTGCAGAGGCGGGGGTCCACGGCGACAGGCAGCCCCACTCACCCTGCCACTGCTGGAAACGGACGACGATGCCCAGGGCCCCAGGCAGGACGCGCAGGCCCTCCAGGGGACCTCCGCCACTGCGCGGCTCGTTCTCCAGGTACAGCTGGAGCAGCAGCAGGTCTGGGGGCGGCGCGTCCCCCACCACCCGCACCGCTCGGGCCTGGGGCACCCGGGCCAGGGTCACCGCAGCACCGTCCAGGTCCAGCGAGCGCGCTTGCTCTTCCAGGACCCCGACCTCTGTGGGAAGGGCTTGGCTCAGCTAGGCTCCTTCCGCGCGCCGCCCCGCCCGTCCCCACGAGGCCCGGCTCTCACCTGTCTCGGACAGCGGCTCCGGCAGCTGCACCAGCGCTCGGTCCGGCCGCGGGCTGGCCAGCGCACGGCACGGTTGCTCCGGAAGCCCGGCGGCTCGCAGCAGGCCCTGCACGTGCAGCTCCAGGCGCCCGGACGCGGTGAGCGCCGGCAGCCCCTGCAGCAGCACGCGCGAGGGGGCCCGGGGAGGAGCCGGCCGCGCGCTCAGCCGCACCGGGCCCAGCACATGCTCCTCCCGCGCCAGGACCCTCGCGGCGTCTGCGGGCAGGGGCGGCGCGGCTCAGCCCCGCAGGCTGGGTCCCGGGGGCCCCAGCCACCCCTTCCCCCAGGCCCTCACCTGCGGGCTCCCGAAAGGTGAGGACGCCCCCGCGGCCCAGTCTCTGCCAGCTCGCCACCGGGCCGCCCCCGGAGCGCCGCCGGTTCTCGAAGTACAGCATCAGCAGCTCCTCCGAGAAGTCGGGGGGCAGCCCCCGCAGCTCCACCGCCGCGGTCGCCTCCGCCATTGCGCCCTGGGCCCACGGCCCGCGGCGGCCGCCCGCACCCCACGCGCCCCCGACCCGGGAGAGCCCGCACCCCACACTTGCATACACCCGCCGCCCTGCGCCCTGTCCCCGCCTTCAGCCCGCTTCCCCCGTCTGCCCTGGGCCGCCCTCGCTGGAGGGCTGGCTTCCCCGAGAAGCAAAAGTGAAACTGTCCGAGGGACTGGTGGAGGGGCCGGGCCAGAGAGGCCGGGCGTGGTCGGGTCTGGGGCCTGCGGCTCAGGTGCTTCCGCGACGTGGCCTGCGGCGCCTCCTCGCAAAACCGGCCACGCACCACTCTCGCACCCACTGCACCCACCGCTCGCACCCACTGCACCCACTGCCCCTCACCCACCGCTTGCACCCACTGCACCCACTGCCCCTCACCCACTGCACTGCACCCACTGAGCTGAATCCACCGCATCGCACCCACCGCTCGCACCCACCGCACCCACCGCTCGCACCCACCGCACCCACCGCTCTCACCCACTGCACCCACTGCCCCTCACCCACCGCTCGCACCCACTGCACTGAACCCACTGCACCGCACCGCACCCACCGCACCCACTGCCCCTCACCCACCGCTCGCACCCACTGCACTGAACCCACCGCACCCACCCACGCATCACACCGTACAGCACCCACTGCACTCACCACACCTTACTGCCAGCTCTTTGGCCAGAAAAGACCTTGTCTGTCCACCAACAGGGGAGGGGAAAGGGAAAGGAGGCTGGCTGCCCCCAATCCCTCAGAGCCCTGAATAGGAAGAAGGTGGCCTCCAATACTTCTCAGCTCCTGCTGCACTTCTTTGCATCTCCCAGAAATGACCAATCACCCCTCTAAAGCCACCCAAGGGCCTTCCAAGTCACTGCCCCAACTCAGGGACCCAGGGCCTCCATGGTACCCCCTTGTACATAGACAGCTCGGGGCCCTCCCACCTCAGGAGGGCAGAATGTGCATCTTCCCAGCCTTTGACCTAAAAAAGCTGGACTGTGCCCCAGGCACCCTGCCCCTGGACCTGCCCAGTTGCCCCACTGCCACCATTGCCTTCATCATCACCATCACAGCTAATTGTATGTATAGTACAGTGTTGTCAGTGACGGCAAACTGACATACGGGTGGACACATGGGTGGACAGGCTGAATGATCAAGTATGTCTAACCAGGGGGCAGTGTGCCCATGACCACATCTAGGGTTAGCAGACAATATTTCTGCAAGTGTACCTGTATGTTCTGTAAGATTCCCAGGTATATAGTAGAGCTGACAAGGGACAAGTTCGTCACTTCTTGACCACAGCCAGCTACCCAGAAGGAGCAAGTAGTTGAACCTGTGGGCTCGGGACTGTGGTCACAGGGGACATCAAGCTCAATTGGCATAACCTACTACACGAAAACATTGTTCCACATCCTACTTTGTCAAGCAGCGACTGGGATCTTAAAAGCTGGCAAGCGGCCATCTAGATGCAACAATGGGTCTCTCCTCATTCGGAGCAAAGAAAAATGAAGAAAACCAAAGATTCATGGAAATGATTAGTCCAAGGAACTGGTACATCATGTGATCCTCAGCCTATATGACTATGAGACCAGAAGAACTACCACCATCAACCACTCAGAGGGGGATCTCTGTAGGAGATCCTGGATAGAGAGGGAGAACAATGTGAAACAAAACTCAAAATCATGAAAAAAAAAAAAACAAGATCAGGTTTGCTAGTCTAATAGAGCCCCATGAGACCACTGAGACTATGGCCCCTAGCTGCCCTTCAGGTGTGGAATTGAACTCACTCCTGTGGCTTCCAGCCAAACAATAGACAGGCATATGGGGTGAACATTTGGAACTCTGGTGGCATAGTACCTAAGGCATTTGACTGCTAACCAGAAGGCTGGAGTTTCAAACCCACCAGCCTTCCTTCCTCAGAAGGAAGACTAGGCAATCTACTTCTGCACTTCTGTAGAGATACTGCCTTAGAAACCCAAGGAGAAGTCACTGTGAGTCAGATCCAACTCAACAGCAGTGAGTCTGTTTTTTTGTTTTTGGTATGAGGTTAACATTTACATCAGGTAGATACACTCCCTGGAGCAATGGATCAATCACGGAGAACAGAAGGGCGGTATTTGCATAGGGAGACAGGTGGGGGAGGGGGACGGCAGGATTGCTTGGGAGGGAAGGACACAAGGAAAAGGTGATTCATCATGGGAGGGAAGGACACAAGGAAAAGATAACTCAGGGAGGAAACCTGGAGAGAGATGTTACATTGTGGGAAACTGCAGTCAATGTCATGAAACAAAATGTGTATGACCTGTTGTACAGAAAATGAATTTGTTCTGTAAACTTTCACCCAAATCATGATAAAAATTTAAAAAATAAAAAAACATGGCTAATCCCAGCAGGAGCGCTGTGGGGTTATGCATACTGCACAGAGGGGCTGTGTGGCACCAGTCCTCACGCCCAGGACCACATCTCTGAATACATTCCCTGCCACCATCCTTGTCCCCCATCACTGTCACGGTCCCCATGTTCCCACTTCCCTTCACCCTTCAGCCCAAGCACTCTGCACCCCCTCTCTCTAGGGGCCGAGCGCTCCACTCAAACCCCATGTAACTCAGAGTAAAAGCCAAAGTCCATCACATAAATCAGAACTTTACAGAATTGAAAAGACAAATAAATGACTCCATAATAACAGTAGGAGACTGTAACACACCACTTTCAATTAAAGAACTAGAAAGAAACTCAACAAAGATGCAGAACAACTAAACAATACAACCCACCAACTTGGCCTCGTAGACATCTACAGAGCACTACACCCAATCACAGAACAATATACATTCTTTTCCAGCACACATGGAACATTCTCTAGGATCAACCATATGTTAGGCCACAAAGCAAGCTTCAATAAATTTAAAAACACTGAAATACTGCAAAGCATCTTCTCAGATCACAAATACTATAAAACTAGAAATCAACACTAAGAAGACCAACAGAAAAAGAGCAAATACATGGAAACTGAATAACACTATCCTCAAAAGACTGGGTAATTGAAGAAATAAAAAATGAAGTTAAAACATTTCTTGAATCAAAAGAGAATGAAAACACAACATACCAAAATCTTTGGGACACAGCAAAAGCAGTGATCAGAGAACAATTTATAGCAATAAATGCACACATCAAAAAAGACTAAAGAGCCAAAATCAACACCTTAACCCAACATCTCCAACAATTAGAGCACACACAAAAAAAGGCTACAGTCACCAGAATAAGAGAAATAAAGATTCAATCAGAAATAAATGAAACTGAAAAGAGACAATAGAAACATTAACAAGGCTAGAAGTTGGTTCTTTGAAAAGATTAATAAAATAGACAACTCTCCCAAAAAAAAAAAAATATAGACAAACCACTGGCAAACTTAACAAAGAAAAAGAGGAGAAGATGTAAATAACACAAAAAAGAAATGCAATGGGTGACGTCACAACAGGAACTAGACAAGGATGCCCTCTATCACTTCTGTTCAGCATTGTATTGGAAGTCTTAGCCAAGGCAGGAAAGGGAAATCAAAGGCATCCAAATTGGTAAGGAAGAAGTCAAACTAACAAATAAAAAGGATAGTATCAGGATACTAGGAAGTAGTGTGCTGTTGCTGTTGTTAGGTGCTGTCGAGTCGTTTCCGACTCATAGCGACCCCATGCACAGCAGAACGAAACACTGCTGATCCCGCGCCAGCTCCACGATCCCTGCTATACCTGAGCCCATCATTGCAGCCACTGTGTCAATCCATCTCGTTGAAGGCCTCCCCCTCTTTCGTCGACCCTCCACC